AACATTTGTTAGTCCTGAAGGTGCCACAACACTTCTGTTTGGTCTGGGAGGCACTTGACATCATGAGCCAAGGCTTTAGTGATGGCACCAAGACCATTGCTCTCTCCTCCTAGCTTCCGTGTCTTCTGCATACCCAAAGGACCTGTAAAATTGGGCCTTCCCTAGTTACACACACACAGTTACTATAGCTGGAACAAATACTAGCTTTGCTGTAAACAGGAACTGTCACACTCTGAAAAAGGCTGAAGAGAAGCCTGTTCCAATGACAGCGCGCTCAGTGGTAGCCAGGTTCTCCCCTCCTCCACCCTTCCTTTCCCCAGTATTCTATGTACGGACTTAGCAGAGGGGAAAGCAAGACTCTAATTTTGTGCCTGTTAGACCAAGGAGCAAATCTCGTCAAAAAAGGAGTGGCTGCCAATGTCCCCCAAACAAGAGCAAAAAATAATTTCGGAGTGACCCACCTCCCGCCTTTCGATTTCTTTCCTCCTCTCTTCCTCTCGTTGTCTTTCCATCTCCCACTGCCTCTCCCGCTGCCTCTCCAGCTCCATCTGCCTCTTCCGCTCTTGCTCCTGCTGCTCCCTTTCCCGCCGCTCCTTTTCCTCTCTTTCCTTCTGAGCTTTGCGCTCCGCCTCCCGCTGCTGCTGCTCCAAGAGCACCTGGCGCCGCTTCTCCAGTTCCATGTTGCCCCGCTCGTAGTTGGCTTTCCTCTTATCCTCAAAGGTAACTAGAATAGAGAACAGCGAATGGCACCATGCAACAAACACCATGAAATGGGGTGCTGTGTGGGTAAGAGAAGGAACTTTCTAAAACAGGCAACTTGTCAAAGGAATGCAAACCAGGGGAACATCCATTATATGATCTGATCTGGTTTCAAGACTCAAGATTTCTGCGTGCTCCCTTGGTGCAATACCCAGAGCCTTCTTTCTTTTCTGCCTGCGTCTCTACTGCTGCCCCCACTGTACTATATTCCTTCCCCTCTGATACCGTCAACACCAGGGATCCCCAACCTTTTTGAGCCTGGGGGCACCTTTGGAATTCTGACAAAGGACAGTGGTCGCAACCATAAAATGACCCCTGGATTAGATGGGTTTACACAGGGCTTTTTTTGTAGAAAAAGCCCAGCAGGAACCCATTAGCATAATAGGCCACACCCAACAGCAGAAACTCATTAGCATATTAGGCCACACCCCTGACAGCACAGCTCATTGGCGTATTAGGCCACACCC